TTATATAAATGCCAACTATGTAAATATGGAAATTCCAGGTGGCATAAATCGTTATATTGCCACCCAAGGCCCACTGGCCTCAACGACTACGGATTTCTGGCGAATGAACGTAAATGTGCTGCCAGTAATGGTGTAACTCCCGAAGATGAGACGCCGGTATCAACCAGTGTTCATCAGTAAGTATTTTTTATTATTTTAGTTATTTAATACCTAGTATCATAAAATGAAAAACTCGCAAATTGTTGTTCATCCGAGGCTCCATAAAATGTTTAGGTTTAGTCGTGCCCGCTATTCGTAAAAAAACCGTTTCAAGTTTCACAAGCACTTTTGCCGTAGCTTTATGCTGACACAATAAATCGACTACGTCTTTAAGAATTGTTGAGATTTTCAATTGAAATTTTAAAGAGAAATTCCTGAATTAGTGTTTTTTGAAACCGAGAATGGGGGATCCCCTTAAGACAGAACTTTAAAATGTGCAGCCCGATTGGACGGCGATCAACGCCGTCTTTCTTTCATGCATCTAATATTGTCATTTTTCGTTCATTGCAGATGTATTAGTGCTGCTAATCCACCTGTTATAGTTCATTGTTCGGCTGGTATTGGGCGAACAGGTGTTTTAATACTAATGGATACAGCATTAGCATTAATGGAGGCACGCGAACCAGTATATCCGTTGGATATTGTGCGTACAATGCGTGATCAAAGAGCCTGTATGGTGCAAAATGTGGTAAGTAATCAATACTTGGCCTTTTTTCTTATACCCATTTTCGGCAATATTTACGAATTGTTTCTCTCCTATTTCATATATAAATTTATATATTACTCATTTACTCCTATTTTAGAGCCAATATCGCTTTGTATGTGAATGTATCTGTGCAGCCTATATGAAAATGTCTCGAAATAGTGCTTTATTATCTCAAGAAGATGATGATGATGACATTGGTGGTGAATAGACTAATATTTTTTGTGACTTTTGTGGTAATAATGCACGTGCCTCTTTATTGAAAAAAATACACATACAAAATTATATACATAAATACCCACATATGTATAGCAGAGAAACGTGTACAATAACACAGAACCAACCGTGGAAATAATAACATATATTTTTATATACAACTTACAATTAAACTGATACTATATATATACACACACTTTAATTATAAAAGAGATTAAAAAAACTATTGTATACGCCTCAAATATAACCTTTACACCCTAAATTTCGATTTTGTTCTCTAATGACCATCACATTATAAATGCATCAATGCTTGAGTTGATAAAATGCAAAGAAATATATTTTATGTATTATGTTCTAATAATATAAGTTTGTTTGATAATAAATCAACCCTTGAAATGCATTTAAGATGTCTACAAAATAAACAATTGTTCTTGTTCATTAGTAACATTTTTAATTTGTCAACTTATACAAAAAAAACGACATTAAAATTTAAATTGAAATTCAATATCAAATTCCTCTTCCGTGTTTTCTTCCTTAAATATAAAGATATACATATGTATATTATTTTTAAGTGTATTATTGTGTATTTTATTATATTTTTATATATACTCATCATTAAGATGAAATACAAAAACAATTTGTCCATATTAATGAAAATGTCTAACAAAATTCCGAACCAAGATGTTTTCTTGTTTTATTTTTTCTAGTTTACTAAAAATTTAATTACATTACATATACACAAGATAAACAATTAGTATTCTAGCACCAAAAATAATGTTTATGCTATAATATATAACACACACACATACATTTAAAACAATGAAATACATATTTATTATTCTAAGAATTACTTTTATAATGTAGTTTGTGTCCAATAGAAAGTTATAAGAAAATTATTTATAAGAAAATCTAATAAAACAAAAATTCAATATTTAGACACCCAAAATAAATTTGGTTTTATTTCTGTAAAGTAGATATGTTTGTAATTAAAATCTATCATTAAATTGATCTTAAACATAGCTGGTGTTTTAAGTTAGCCTATGCACCGATATTGAAAAGGGAAATGTTTCTCTTGAAGTTTTCGCAATATGTACGATTTCTAATGGAGCAAATGTCATCTGTTGGAATTTGCCGACTTTAAAATATTCCATACTTATGCTTTAATATTTTTATATGTGAACTTTACAGGAAATTCCAATCGATAGTAAAAATGGTTTGTATCTTTGGTAGTGTTTATTCAAAAATGCCGATTGTGAACCTTATGTTTTCAAATCAATCCAATTAAAACGGTATACACACTATCACTTTGAATGACACTCTTTTGTCCCCTTTTCCACAGGCAAATTTTTATTTGGCAAATTCTGAGTTTGTAGGCGAGAGGGGTTCGAGGATGAGAAACAAAACATTGCTCTTTTCGTTGAAAACAATTTTGTTGACATTTCCTTTTTAACCTATTCGTTTTACTGACACACAGCCGGCTGTTGTTTACAATTGTTTTAATTTGTGCAAGTGAAATTTAATTTTTAATTTATATAATAAAATATGTAAAAAAAATAAAATATTAAAAAATTCTTTAAAATTAAAAAATAAATTTGACGTTTCTTTCTTTCTTTTGTATTTTGATTCGCAAATTTGGAAAAGAAAAATTAGCTAGTTGAAAAGCAAGCGAAAATTTCAAAACAGAAAACAACAAATTTGCCAAATAACAATTTGCCTGTGGAAAAGGGAACTTTCCAAATTTTTCTTGTTTGATAGTGTGCCTCACAGGTTTGTCAATTATCAGGCCACCACAACAACATTTATGGTTGTTGGACAGTCAATAATCGAAGAGTTGACCAAATTAAAGATTTCAATTAAATTGCAAACTATACTACTCCATTTAACAAGAGTTCTTAATGATATCATAGAAGGTATTATTCTAAAAATAATAATGTATTAAAATAAAATTTAAAAATCATGAATGAAAATCTATCAAATTTATATTTCTATCGCTTCCATATCGTTCCTATGCCATATATGTGTAACACATATGAAAATTATTTCTTAAAGAAAGATTTGCTTTCTCAGATTTCCCCAGCAGGCAGATTGAGTAAATTGAATACATTTAATATACAATTACATTTAATAAAGAACCATTTCGAATTGTATGCGTTCCCAATTTTCCTGTTGGTTGATTTTTAAAAACTTAATTTGTCATATTGACACTACACCTTTTTCAAATGTTATTCAAAACATTTCAATTGCAATTCGAGGATTTTATTTGTAATTCGAAAATTCAATTTGCAATTCATAACATTTCAGTTGTAATTCGAGTATTTAATCTGCAATTCACAATAATTCATTTGTAATTTCAAACTTTTCATATGTAATTCAAATAATTCCATCTGAATTTTTAAGAATTTCAATTGTAATTTTTTTTTTTATTATTAAATCTTTATTTTGTAATGAAAAGCCTAAGGGGCCAATAAATTATTACAATATGCTTCGAATAGTAATTTGTAAATTAACATTTAAATTATTAGAACTTAAAGGTAAATAATATCTAATTAGGAAAAAATACATAACTTCATAAGGGAAGAACTACTCCTATTTGTAAATTTTTATTTGAAATTCGTAGTTTCATTTGAAATTCAATGAATTCAATTTGAAATTCATAAAATTTCACTTGTAAATCATAATCAGCCTTATTCTGGATATTTGCTAGGGATATATCTCGCATGTAAAAAATTTTCGCTTTCACATTCTCGCCTTATTCTGAATAAATAGGGAGATGTTTTCGAAAATGGTGGTTGAAAAAAAAGATTCGTGTTGCCATATCGTAAATTAAGTTGCAATGTGTATGGCCATATTGTAAGTTAAGTTGCCATGTGTGTTGCCCCATTGTAATTTAATTGTGTAACATTTTCAATATATTATTTATTGATTTTTGTTATTAAAAATTGTTACTTTTTATTGTTATTTAAACTATATAGCAATACAAATGTGAAATATCAAGAATCCGCTGTATAAATGCTTTGCAATTAAAAGAAAATAAATTAAAGTTTGAAAATATGGCAACCTACAATATGGCATGTGAAACAGCTGTTCATTGTTTTGATGCAATTTGTTGCAACAACTACAATAGATTACAATTAAAATAACATTTTTTATGATGGCAAAAACATAACGAATAATAGAAAGAAATCTGCGATTTAATTAATTAATTCACAGTTTATTATTTCACTACATAATTGTGTGCCTTTTTATTTAATTCCCATATTTTATTTCCCCAATTTCTTAAAGTGGCCTGTTATGTTATGATTTGCTTTTGAAAAAAAAATTGTTCTTTCATAATTTTTATTTAAGTTTTTCACTGTTAAGCGGCTCATCATTGAAAATTTTTTTCTTGAGAGACAGATCCTCACCCAAAATGTCTGTATTTCCTTATTACCTTCATACATTTCTTGGCAATACTTGCTTCAGCATGCATCGTTATCAATAGGATTTCCAATCGCATTTTATTGGTTGTTTTCCAGTTAAAAATTTGCTTACTATCATTTATAATATTCTAAATCGTCATAGAATAAGTAGGGGAGACTGGGGCAACTTCGGCACTTTTTGTTTAGAGCTCTATATCTCAGTACAATATATATAAAAACTTTATAGCTGATTATTGTCCTCTGACACTTAATTATAAAAACTAATACCAAAAAGATATAAAAAATTAGTGTTAAACGGCATATACATTATAACTTTTTACCGGGTTAACCTATTTTATGAGGATTTATTTGACATATATGCAAAGGAATTGGCAATTGAAACCCACTGGGTTAACGAAATCCGGTTAAATGTAAACGTACTATTAGTTAAAAATTTTTACAGTTTTGTAAAAAAAGTCAAATTCGCCGAATGTGCCCCTACCCGGGGTAGCTTCGGCATTTGATGGGTCACATTCGGCACCATAGTCATAGCCTGGTAATTATCATCTCTATCAGTCTGGTTGAACTTCAGATCCTCTAAAGGCTCTATTTGGTTTAAATAAGCGACACAATGTTTGAATTTTAGGGCTATATTTTCTAGCGACGGACGTTGACATCTCAAGGTCACACACTATCAGAAATAGGGTATTTATATCGCATTTTCGTCAATACAAGCACGTTTGGTCTTATATATGTATTATCGAACCATATTAAAGGATTATTTTTAAAGACAAATTCAAAACCATTTTAAGGAAATAACATTACACTAACTGTATGTGGCCGAATGTGCCCCATTTTAAAATGCCGAATCTACCCCGAATGTACTTTTTATAGTTTTTTCCATTTTTTTTTTTATCAGTCTTGTAAGAACATTATATTTTTAACTATTTTTATACTAATACACATTGTAATTAACCACTGTTTAATAATATTGTCTTAAAATTTGAAAAGTTTTATACACGAAATATTTACGAAATGGAATGGAAATATTACAAAAACATCTGTAGAAATACAAAAAATTGTGCATCTAAATAAGTTTATTAGCTAGAAATTTAAAATTTTGTGACACTTATTTATTTCGATATTCGATACCTACGTATCGAAACTAGTGATGTACGGTGAGAGCTTCATATCGAAAACGCGATTGCCGAAGGTGCCCCAGTCTCCCCTAAATATTGTTACGTTCTTGGACTTCACTTATTCCCGTGTAGACGTTGTTTTATTTCCCGATACAGTTCGTACCAAATAAAACGCGGGTTCGTTCAGATTACGATTATTACAATGACTTTATTCACACAACTTTACTTTGCACTTTACTTTACACGACGGTTTCAATTCGCGATCTGATTCACAACTGACTCACTGCCTTTCCATTCCCTCTATTTATATGAGCCCTGCCTGTCGCTACAGAAGTTTCTAGACGATCTGGTAACACCTAGATCACGAACAATCTACCAATGCAACAAACACATTGAGTAACAATAACAACAACAAACTTACTGAGTGAACAATAACAACAACAAACTTGAGTAAACAAACTTACAATAACAACAACACAT